TGTAATAGTAGTAGGGAGTAGCTTCGGCATCACGCTTGTAGTAGTAGTAGGGAGTGGCTTCGGCATCACGTTTCTCTCGCTTGTATTAGTAGTATGGTTCGGCATCACGTTTCTCTTCTTAGGCTTCTCGCTTGTAGTAGTAGTATGGTTCGGCATCACGCTTCCATAAATCTTGGGGGTTACGCTTCCAAAAATCTTGGGGATTACGCTTCTCTTCTTGGCGTTTGTAGTAATAATATGGTTCGGCATCACGCTTCTCCTCTTGGATGTAGACGCCTTGGGCATCACGCTTCTCTTCTTGGGCGTTGCGTTTGTAGTAGTAATAGGGAGATGCCTCGGCGTCACGCTTGTAATAGTAGTAGGGAGATGCCTCGGCATCACGTTTGTAGTAGTAGTAAGGTTCTAAATAATTATAAAGTTATCAATCTGTAAAAAACAATCGAAATGCATTCTCAAGATTTTTATTCTCTTACCAGCAACAGCTGAAGCAACGAACAAGGTGACTGCAAGACAGATTGCGGAGAACTTCATTTTGTAAGAATTTTATTTTATTTTTTTTTTTATCTTACTGAACTTTTTCAGTAAAGTAAGGAATCCTGGAGGGTGAAACATCGGTGGTTTATATAGCTTTTTTTTACGCCATGAGTTCCTAAATATAAACAATAATTTGTTCCGAAGCCTTGATGCTATAATAACACCGCGTTTTCCTACTAAGTTTACGCAAATATTGATTTTACAAAGCCTCCAGGCTAAATAATTATATGATCTCAGTCTTAATTTGCATGTATCCATATTTCTTATGTGTCACAAGGTTTTATATAGCCACAACATTTTTTCTTAGCTACAAGATTTGGTCTTTTCATATAGCCACAAGATTTGTTTTTCATATAGTCACATTTGTTTTTTTTCAAATAGTCACAAAAATATTTATTATATTGCCACGAAATTTATTTAATATAGCCTTTTCTGAATAGTTTTTTCTTGATTATATTTGATTATATTCGACTTGAATTATTGTATTTTTTTTTTACAATTTTTTCAAAACTGTACTGTAATAATAATCATATAAGGTCTTTTGATTTTAATCCTATATATAAAATGTATTAATTATTTCTAGAGATATTAATTATACTGTAAACAGAAACACTAGACTTAATAAGCCAATACAATTTATATTTACTTTAATATCTTTTTAATATAATTATTTATATAACATTTAATAATATATGAAAAAAAGTATTGTAATTGAAATTTTTTAGTTATGTAATTTATTTTTCAAAATTAAAATATAGAAATATTTTATCTGAATTTTTAATAAATCTAATAAATTAAAAAAAAAACTCTTTTCTATACATAATTTTTTTATAAAAATTATCTTTTTAAATAATTTCTTTTCTTCAAAAAACTTTGACTTATGAATTATGTCTTTTGAAAAGAAAATATAATCTGAAGAATTGTAGTTATACAATGAAGGTTTTAGCAATAGCTCATACTTGCAAAAGTATTGATTAATATCTTGATTATTAAAAAATAAATAAAAACTCTTTTTCATATTAAGACCTTTTTCTAATATCAAAAAAATATAATTTATATACAATATTCTTTTCTTTTAATAATTATATACTTAAAAAACAATATTTTATTTTTCAAAATTTTTGTTTTCTATTAATAATAACTAGTAAAAGATTCTTTATATTCTCTAACTAGTTATTAACTTTTATCAATTTATTATTATCAAATCTTTTTTAATTCTTATACAAAAAACTAAAAATAGTTTATCTTACCAAAAAATTCATAATACATAAAATACCAATTATATTCTATATTACTTACTTATATTAAAACAATATAACAATTTACTAAATTAAAAGAATATATAAACAATACTTTGTACAGGTTCTGATATTTTTCTAACAAATAATAATTAACAATACAATATAATAAAACATTGGAATAAGTATTAATTACTTAATTTAATAATATTGAAATACAATCAATTACTTAACAATAATTACAAAAATTCATATATTCAAATTCAATAAATTATATATAGCTTGCATGATACTAATGTTTAATTTAATCTATATATATAATATGGTGCAAAAAATTTTAAAATTATTTATTTATTTATTACTCAAAAACTATTATATAGAAATTAATAAAAAATATATCAAAATAAAACTAAAAATATAGAGATTTTATTAATATATAATTGATAATTAATTCTTTTACCATTATTTTTAATTATTAATTTATATATCTTTTTATTGAATTTATAAAATTATTTAAAATTTTATTTAGAATTTTATTTGATTTTTCTATTATAAATTGTTCTAATTCTAAAATATTTTTTGATAATCTTATTTCTATATTTCTTTTAATAATAGCCCAAAGGTTCTCAATAGGATTTAAATCTAAATTGTTAGAAGGCCAATCAATAATTTCAAAAAAAAATTTATTTAAAAATACTTTAACAATTTTACTTATATATTTGAGATTATTATTTTGTTGAAAGTACCAATTGTTTTCAAGTAGTTTATTAATTTTCTGTTTATAATTTTGTAAAATATTAATATAAAAATTTATATATATAATTTCTTTAAAACAAAAAGGAGAAGTTTTTTTTTTATATAAAATTCTTCCTATAAAAAGATTTTAATACAATCTTTAAATATTTTTTTAACTGGTTTTGTACCTTTATACCATTGAATAATTATATTTTTGAATAATTAAAATACTGTTTTATCAAAAAATAATGTTTTTTCAATTATCATTAAGATATTTTTTTGCCCAAATAATACAAGCTTCTTTATAAGCAGTAATAAGTATAGATGTTTCTAAAGATAAATTATTTTTGTAATCCAAATTAATCAAATGTCTTAAAATTATTGAATATAATATTTTGATATTAATATTTGATCAAAGTTATTGAGAAAAGTCTTGGATTATAATATAAATATTGATTAATTGCTTTTTTTTTTTTATTATAGTAGAACAGATATTAGATATCAATCTTTATTGATATATATAAATATCTAGATAATATATTAAATATTATCTGTAATTCTAGACTATGGCTAAATACAAGCCTATTTTACTTTTATTGTCTCAGCAATACTAATAATACTTATAAAATAAATTCATATTTTTGAAAAAAACCTATCTAAGGAATGGAAATTTTATCACTAGTTTTAAACTATCTAATTTATCAATTCAATTTTTGTATAAGTATAAAGAATACTATTAACTATTTACCTAAGTTACTTATTATATTCACACCTTTTTACTTACATAACAATATGGCAAAGAAGTCACAACATAGATATATACTTTCTAGTGAATGCTTCAGTTTTTGATCACTGGTTGGCTTTAAGCTATCAAATCTAGGGATTCTTATAGCCAAGTGGAGTATAACTTCTTAAAAATCATATAGGCAATGATAAACAAGCTCTCAAGTTTTTTAATCTCCTAGTAGATATTTCAATTTTAAAATCAATTGACTTAGGCTGCCAAATCTAGAAGAATAAATGCCAAGCAGAATATAATTCTTATATATACAATAAGCTATTGGAATAGTTATATTATATAAAATGGTAATATCAGTACAATGCTCTTCTTCAAAGCTTCTTTATTTAACAATCAACAGAAAAGAAATTGGTTAAAATAAAGTTATAGTCCTGAAAATTGAAATCACATAGACTCATATGAACTTGTATATATATAAAAAACATAAGTAGATTATAACCTATCTATTAAATTTATTATAAAAGTTAAAATTGAATGGAATTAAATACAAAATCATTAAAATCCTTAAATGGAGTACAATTCAATTTGTATTTTCAAATATGTAAATGGTTCTGTAGATATTTTTTGATAAACAATTATTGTGATACCATTTGAATAATCATCATGTTATTACACCTTAATAGGAAGATTATATTCTTAATACTTATTGAATTAGTATATAAAATGACTTTTTATAAGAAATAGCATATAATAGGTTATAGTACCAGATATTATATTAATTTTATTCAATTACTTTTATATAAAATTAAATTGATATCTTGTAATTTGACCTGTAAAGTACTAATCACTGTACTATGGATCCATAGATCAAATATTGATCAATTGCCTTTAATTTATATGCAGTAATCTTTTTAGGATAACCACTATTAGATTTTTTTGAATTATTAATTTTTGAATTCAATTTTTTGAGATTGTAATAGATAGTTAATATGTTTATACTAGGGCTTCTAATAGTACCACTTTGATATCACTTTGATACCAGTTTAATATTTAAATTTACTATAAATTCATATGAATAGGTTACAATCCATATATTAAATTTACTATAGATCAATACCACTTCAATACTGGTTTGATACTTTTTGAAGCTCTAGTTTATATTAGTTTTGAAATATATTTTATATATAGAAGTAATATCACTATTTCACAAATATAATATAGTTTGTTATTTAGTACTTTTTTAAAAGATAACATTATAAAAATAAGTTTATAACAAAAATAAAATAATTAAATAATTTTAAGTATCTATATATATTATTTGAAATATGTTATTTATATATTTAAAATTTCACATTAATTGTTTTTGTTTTAAAAAAGTTATACATGTTTATATTATATAAATAATATTTTAAAATTTTTTGTACCATATTATATATAGCTATTTGTATATAAATAGTTTATTATAAATATATATATATAACTGTTTATTAGCAAATACCTTATTGGCATTAAAAAATAAATAAACAAAATCTTTTATCAAATCTTATTATAAAAAAAAAAAACTGATATTAATTATTATAACCAATTTGAACTTACTTAATAATATCTTAATCTTAACAAATTTGCAATTCACAAATTCAAATAGCTTATTTAAGTTTCAAGACTTTATTTCAGCTTTGGAAGGACATCAACTATCTAACATTAAAACTAATCTAAATTATATCAAGTATAATAAGGATAATGATAGTTAATATTATAAATAAATTATTATTATTTTATATAGTTTATTTTATAAAGATGTTTGATGTAATCTGTGTATCATATATACTATATGAACAAAAGTATCACACATCTTATATTTTTTTTTTTTTTTTTTTTTTTTTTTTTTACTCGCTCGGCCTTGCCCCACTGCCTTTGTTTGTTTGTCAT